CACACCAGACACTGCATCTGTACTAGTTACCCCACACTTTTCATCTATTACACACGCAGCTCTTGAAAACACTTTTTTAATAGTACAATTGACTCAGCCCCCGACGGCTCCGCCCAGTTATTGATGGAATTTATCAAAAATTTCGCCGCTTTACAACTTTATTCTCTGACATCCGTTTTCATTGATCTCTTCACATGTATAATGTACACCTAAGAGGCAGCCGCGAATATCAGTAACACTATGTAAGTAAAAACGGTAAGAAAGTAAGTAAAGGATATAAAGGAAATTATGGGCATGTGTTTGACTTAATACCGGAGGAAAACCGTTTTTGAACAATTCTTTCTGACATACCTAGAAGATTCCATTCGCCATTTTCAACATAGTATGATATGTCCATTCCTTGTTCCGATATGTTCATTCCCTCGGGCCCGTTGATGCGTAAATCAATGAAGTTGCCGCTATAGGTCCACGAACCGAACTGAAAGTGCTCTTTCTTCACCTCAACATCGTAGGCATTGGATTAAATGTGAAGAGTCTTTGACATTGCCGTGTGTCCAAGACGAGCACAACGATTTGTCCCGTTTGTCCCGTTTACGGCTTACGGCGTACGTACGTTGATCGCTGTGCGTACTCGATCATTTCGGCCCCAATGGCTCACAAATGCTTAAAATCCCCACGTTACGTTCACGCAGACCATCATGTGTCACTGACATGACTGGGAGTTATCTCGCTTCACAAAAGCGACATAATGCTGAATTGCCATAATGACCGCGCCGAGCCCCCGTCTTAATCCTTCTCAAACAAATCAATCATGAGTCTTATGTTCAGCTGTAATTGTTATTCTACTATTGGCGCCCTTCGGCTTGGTGGGGGCAGTGGTACTGGTATTGTTATGGTACCTACAGAGTACAGCATTGTTATGTGAAACACATGGGAGGGGTCGTATGTGCTCTTTGAGAGAAATTTGGAAATTTGCCGCGTTGGGAAAAAGTTTTCCCGGTTGCTGACTTTTCGCGGTTTTTCCCGTTTCACATTGGCTATATACCGCACCTCCCTCCCGCTAGATGAGAAATGGAAGATGGGAGCTTGTGGAAAGTGGTAGGTGTTAGGTGAAGGGGAGAGGTCGTACTGACACCATTTCACACATCACTCTGTACCCTGGGTGCCTAATGAACCTTAGTAGTAATGGCACTAGGCAAAGCTAGTTCTGGCCACCTTGTGAATACCTGTGCATTTCTCTGACCTAAATAGCTCATTTATCCCAATTCCTACTTTCACAGGGCTTACGGGCTTACCATTGTGTAACTTTTCAATTACTCCTCTGACCCCAAATAGCTCACTTACACCATTTCCCTTTTTCAAAGGGTTTACCAAGGTGTAACCTGTCAATTAAGTCGAACTAGCGAAAGAAATCAGCAAAAGTGCAGAATGCCCTCCCACGCCGCCCAATTACTAAACTGAGCCAAGAGAGCTAAAGAAATTCGAAATAGTAGTCACAAGTTCCTCCCCCGAATACATACCTAGTGGATGGCAACCGAATTTCGAATTCGAACGTTCCAGAAAAAATGCCTTTTCATAAGTGGGAATGTGCTCATCTAAATGTCTCCCGGGGGAGACGGGGGACGGGGTATATGCTCAGGCCAATGATCATGTCCGTTTAGCAACGGGGTCTGTTTGAAGACGACGACGTTTTTATTTATTCTGTGATGAATATGCTAGGTGGTAGCAAAAAGCCAAAACATGAAATAAAACAGAAAATTTTTTGTAAAACTGATTTTCAGAGCAACGAAATTGTGGGGGAAAAAGTCAAAACTGGTAGAAGTATGTGCTGCTACTGGAAACTGTGAGTTGATCTACGATTGAACTGTTACTGTTAGAGTTTGAGATTGCACGCCTGTTACTATAGACTTTACTACAGCCATAATTCCTGCAAACGATAGGGCGGTGTGAGGGAGTGTGAGTTGGATCGCAGGCAGAACACCCTTCCTGCAAACTGTTACGGACTCATGAAGACATCATTGGTGCAACAGCCGCACTGGCAGCGCTCCAACCTACGTCCTTCACGCGCCCAGTCGTTTTCAGGGGTCATGAGATGTAGGTTCAATTACACGTCGACGTCTGCGGCTTGGTACTGCTGGCACCGAATGCCCAAAAATCTCGTTAATTAATGAATGAATGATTTCAAAAACAGCTGATCAAGTCAAGAAATTATCAGTATTCGATGAAATTGCCGCGAAAGGAAGAAAGGCTTTCCGAGGAACGTACATTTACTTTGACTGGAAGGGATCAGCTGTTGTTGCGAGCTTGCTAAATGGTTTTTAAGACAAATATAACAAGTAAGTTGATTTTTTTCCTGCGGGAGTACAGGTTACATGCAAATTGGACGTGAGTGTACTGAAGGGTAGTTTTCTTCCTATTTTTAACTGTGACTTTGACACCCTGCGCTAGCAACTTGTGACAAGTCAATGCGGACGCAGTAAAGTATAAAAGGAACGCTGAAGATTGTTTCTACCGTATCATACTACGCCGTATCATACTTCAGTCCTATCACGAAAAATTTGGGCTGATCGATAATTGATTTTTCAGTGAGAGAGCTACATGAATTCTTTGTTAGCATCTTGACTGGTACGCCATATGATCAGTGCGATTTGCAAACATTGTAATCATTTCTAAAAATGATATTGGTGCAATTAAAAAATCGGATTTAATTTTCGAAGGCTAGAGGCTTCTGATGAATGACTGATAATTAGTTTAGAACTTTCAAAACCACAAAGGTATGATCGCTACTGCATAGCTTATCTTAAGTTTGATAAGAATATTCCTATATTACCAAGGGTCTACGATTTACTCATGAAAACTTCTTCAACAATTACTGATTACCTTTAAATGACACATTTGATCGTCGAATGGAAAATATGTGATATCGATTTTACATGAAAGTTTTAATATTCCCGGTGGGACCTGCAGTACATGGCCATTATGACTAACAACATAGTTTACTGGATATGTAGAATCGAAATTTTCATCGGCACTGAAAACAAAAGGACAGATCTCGCAGAATGGCTTTAACTTCTCAGAAAATTTATTTTTTGTAAAATTACCTGTTATATAGAAGGACGTCGGGTTTCCATATTGCATTTGCATTACCCGGTACTCGAATATCCTTAATTCCACCGTATTCTGATGGTTGCCATTTTAGCTTGTAGTCTGTCCATTGATATTCAATCCAGGCAACAAGAGTAATTACTTGGTTCTTTTCATCCTGTAAAGGGATCGTGTGGTTTTTGAGCAGTAAGATAGGGCGAGTAAAAATCATAGAAAGTATTAATGCAGCAAAAAATTTGAAAATAGTCTTACAACGTCTAGAATCTGTTGAAGGTAGATTTTAACGCTAACTACTAAAGGCTCTGAGGCGTTCGCCACAGGCCTTTCGTAGGGGTCGTAATTATGACGGAGATCAGATAGTAGTCTATATTCGTCAGGACTAGCAAGACTAACATGCCATAACTGCAGATATACAAAACCCAAGGTGACAATATGAAATAATATCTGAAAATAAGAAAAATTCATGTTACACGGGCTAGAATGGTCCCGAAAAAGAGCTCACTAATGGAATGGCTCTGAACTGAAAACTCACCATAATTTTCCACGTTTATCACGGTGTCACATGATGAGAATAAGGCCAAAATGATTAGTGAGTGTTCGATAACCTCGGAGAAACGGCAGATTGGTGGGTGGGTGGGATACGACAACAGCGGGTTGGAGGAGGCACAAGGATCTGAAGAAAAGAAAATGGACGACGCCCCGCGACTCCCTCTCTTCACTGGCTGCCCAGTTCTCGCGCACACACCCCCCGAGAGACCATCAGCACGCTTCGTCAATAGCTTCATTACACCTCAATTCGTTTTTGTTCCAATTGCACGGGTCTAAATCATGGATTGCACGGGTATCAGAAGCAATTTGGCGGGCCGTATTCAAGTTGGGACAACGAAGAGACAATTCTCATTGACGAATTTTAACTGCAGAGAATAGAACAGGAGCAACCGCAGCACAGCAACGTTGAAAGAATCCCATCTGGAGGGTCCTACTTGTTCTCTACTTGAGGGGGGGGGGTCTCATTTGCTTCTGAGGGAAATCTTTTCGAGTGCGAGAACATTCTCTTCGATTGCCGACTTTTCTCAGTTCTTCCTTCTCAATTCGCTATAACCGCTCATAATACCTGAAGTAGAAATTAGTAACTGACTGATAGCACGCCTCTCCGCTCGGAGGCAGTTTTTCTGGGGAAAACTGGAAAAGCGATGGGAAGCTGAGAAAAGTGAGGAAAATGATAAAAGGGATGGTGAGATGGAGAAGCACCTGAGGAAATTAGGGGGAGGGGCTTATCGTTATCCGAGAAACATTCCACACATCACGATCTGTGCCCTGGTTGCGATTTCTGCTGAAAAGGGCACTTGCGAGACAGCAGACTGGCTCACATAAGGGGGGGGGGGGGGGGGCAAAAGGAACCATAAAGGATTTTTAGCATATATATTTTCCAAATTCCAAAATAGTGTCTTGAAGAAGCGCTGTCAATTATAAAAAGGATGGGAAAAAGTGGACCCGTTTATTATTTGATCCCTATTCAGGGAAGATAATCGACTTACAGCCACCACCCTGACTATCAAAGGATTGCTGAGGTTCGGTGAATGTCAATGGTAGGGAGACCAATGGTGAGATGGAGGAGAGGGTCGTACCTGAGGAAGTTGGGGATGGGGCTTATCGTGAACCCAGAAAAATATCACACATCACGGTACTGTACCCCGGTTGCGATTTCTGCTGAGAAAAGGCACGTTGACAACAGTGGTTCGTATCAGGTGCGAGGAGGGGGGGGATGCAGAACGAATGAAGGCTTTTTAGCATATTTTCCGGTCCTAAGATTTTTTTTTTTTCCAAAAGAAGCTGTGTTAATTACAAGAATGATGGGGAAAACTGGGCTCATTCAATATTTTATATCCTTTCAAGGAAGATAACTGGCTGACGGTCACACTTCGACCCTCAAATGATCGCTGAGGATGGTGAATGCCAATGAGGGGGGGGGGGGAAACCACGATGAAGGAAAACAGACATTCGCACGGGTTACAAATAGTGCAAAATGAGGTTTACTATGAGAACTCACGTAGAATGGAACCAGCATCGACTTGGCCCCCTGGGAATTCATGTGAGTTAATGTCATTTCAAGTGAGTTCCTCAAAGTATTCCTTGAGTTCCAGCTCACCAATTGTAGAAAAGTATTGAATAGTTAAGTGAAGTTAGTCAGAAGGTAGCATAGAGCGATTTGGAGCCAGACAAAGTAGTTGGTGCGAATATTACAGCTGTTACCTAACAATGAGTTTAATCATCACTGAAATGCTCTGGTCGTTCCGGAATTGACACTGTGGCAGAACTGACATCACGCCAACAAGGTAGCACTTGAAACTTCATCAAAGGCTTCAGTTATGTATTTTACAACGGTAAGTAGTAAATCAAAGGTTAGTTCGAGAAGCGTTGAGGATCGAAACAACATAGATGGCGATAGCTTGATAGGAAGTATCCTCAATATTTATGGGCCATTAATGTATCGAATAGAGGGAAGAGACAGCTTTACGTTCATGGAATTTTTTTTCACATTAAAGGCTAGTGGCTTGATAAATCGTGTGGGATCAATACGCTTAGCAGGACACAACTCGGCACTCCTGAGCAGGCGCTTTGTGGCGCCTTTTCCAAGGAAGGTACCCCTATAGCGCCCTATCAAGCTGCAACATACCGACCCGGACGCCCACCGCGCCCGCCCGCCCACAAATGTCCGACCGATGCTGATGCTGGTATGCTTCATCTGCCAAGCACAATATAAAGCGCAGTGATTGAATAATGAGTGAATACATGCAGCCTTATCTACCGTAGCGGTTACTGGCACGATGCCAACGGGAAACTCGTCCGAAATAGCTTCCTGAACGGTGTAGAGCAAAGGCTTTTTTGCAGGTTTTTGACCGTTTTCACCCCAAATAGCACCCCTCCTACCATTGCAGACCGAGTACGAAATTAGTGTCTTATGCTTTTAAGAGGAGGCGAATGAGGTGTAATGACAAGTGGTGCGCTTTCCACTCGCGCGGTTCGGGTCAAATCCCCGTCGACTGCCCCCTGGCCAACCAAGCCTTGTACCCTGAGACGACAAATTGGTTCCAGATTCGTCTGGGAGGACAAGAAACTGACTTGTACATCGGCTGGCCCCGCAAGTCATTGTATAGGCCACATCGCATTCAATAAGCCACTACGATTCTGAATGGAAGTAGAATGCGTGCCGCATCCCACAAAGGGATTGATAACGGCGAAGACATTTTTGAAGACTTTACGCCTTTAAGAGAAAAGGCTCGAAGAAACTGTTTGGTAAGACTGCCAGCTGAACGAGACCATCTAGTGTTGGACCTAATGGTTTT